TGTAATATTTTTTATTTTTTCCCAACACGCTAATAATTTTTGTCAAAAAAAATAACGGACGCTTGTGTTTTGGACAGTGTGAAATAATTCAAGTAATTGAGGGATAATGTGAAAAAATTTATAGTGTAAGGGATAAAATTAAATTAACTCAATAATTAAAGTGGTCAAAATGTAATTTATCCTTGCAAATAATTCTGCGGATTGAGGGCAATAGAACAGGCCACACGGAATGAAAATTATAAGGAATGCACAATTTTTTTGGAAATCCGAATATCTTTGTTTCTTGATTGAATCAGGTTTTCAAATACTTGAAAAAATAGACCAAGCCAGAAGAACACTTGACAAGTCCAGATTCACGTCAAGTCTGGGCCTAATTCATGAGTTAAACTCAAATTATCAAAAGTTAGGATAAATTGAACTCATGTCTTCAATTCAATTCAAAGTCCAAGAGTCCAGGAAGAGTCGATGCACATGAAGAACAATTATTGGGATAGTCATTACTATAAGATAGTGCATATCTCCAATTGTAGCTATCCTCTCTGGTAGATTAGTAGCTTGACCTTCACATCACCGCCTCAGTTAGGAGTTCTGTGCTTATAAATTGTAAACTCCTTATATATAGGGGCAGATCTTATACACTTCACCTTAAGTGTGCTATTATTATCTCTCTTTCTCTCTCTCTCTCCCTACTTTGTACTCTCTCTCATTATTGGAATTCTTCAGCCACTGTTGTCGCCTTCAGTAGTTAGGTCAATCAGACACAACCACACAATCTTTATCTTATATTATTAATTATTTTATATCATACACTCGACTGATTTGATCATGCGTAAGTAACTTTGGGTATCATTAACACTTTTCAAATAAAACTAAAGTATCGTAATTAATCTCATTAATTTATAGTTCTAATTTGACTGTCTAATTTTGCTTGTTGTCATTGAATTGAAATTATATCCCACTTAATATCGTAATCCACATGATTCAACGACATTAATGAATTAGTTTTTGAGATTGGGTTTATTTTTCATTATCATGTAACGCATATTTTTCATTATCAATTTTTTAAAAATGAGTATAAGGACTTTATGAGAGAATTCACAAGCTAATTTGCTCAAGTCTACCATCCATGGATTTGTGGGCAAAGCTAAATTTTTGGGGAAATTTTTCTTTCGGATTTGGGTGAGTAATGTTTGAAAGTATTTGCTGAGAAAATTGTATATACGTCAGTATAAAGTTATTTTACCCACAAAAATAATTGGGTAGGTCAAACTTTTGTACGTAAAAATAAGTTTTATTGTAGTGTTACTTATTGGATAATGAGCACTTAGTAATGATGGTCTATAGAGTTCAAGTCGTTACAAGAGTCGCGACAAAAATTGATCCCAATCATAAACTTGGCCAAGGAACCAATCCGAAACGAACTATTCCTAAAAATAGTTTAGGCTAATTAGATTCAATTGGGTCATTCCGCTAGCTGCTTGGATAAGATAAGGAATGGGATCAGCCGTCGTGTGAGACATACACAACACACAATGTAAGACCTACCATTGCCCAGGGTGTATTCTAGTATTTCATTCAGATGAGCTGAACAATTAATGTGATTGTTTATAGTTGACAATTTTATGCGCCCGGAGAAAATATTTTCCAGAAAATAATAGTTCTGCCTACAAGCCACCTACTTTCAATGTCTTGTTGCCTACCTACTATTCAATACCAGCTAGTCAGCAACAAGAAGCACCCTTTTTCCCACAAAATAGTAGTTTTGCCTACAAGACACCTACTCTCAATGTCTTGTTGCCTACCCACTATTCAATACCAGCTAGTCAGCAACAAGAAGCACCCTACTACTATGTTGAATTAACTAACTTTCATATAGATTATTTATTTTTGACTTAAAAGTAATTTAAATAACAAACTTTGAAATTGAAGACAATTGAATGTAAGATTGTTAACCAATTCGAAAAACAAACTTAAAAGAAAGAACAGTAGCAAGAACTCTCAAGAAAAACTCTAGCACTCTCTAAATGTAGAAAAGCTAGTAAAAACTAAAAAAAAACTTCAAAACGTGATATCTGTATTTCCTAGAGGGTCTTCTATTTATTCTAGTTGGAAGGAGAATCTTCAGATCTTTAACATATATTCATCCCAAAATTATCTCCTCGTTTGGTTGGTTAAGAATCCCCAAAAGATTTGACAAGATCTGATCTTTAACTGAATTTCCCGTGAAAGTCTGCCTTCACCAACTGATATCAACTCCTTCTGTAGCATGACCTACCGGTAGAACAATGAAACCTACTAGTAGTAGTTTGTTTTGACGAAATATCTAAAACTTCAGTGGCTTTTCCTCTTGGTAGAACATTCTTTACCTGGTACGAATTCTTCTGACAAAGCACTGTAAGTTTTTCTATCGGTAGAATTTATCCAATGAAAAAAATGTTAACTTCTGTAAGTTTTGCCATTGGTAGAAGAATGTGAACCACCTACCAGTAGGACTTCTACACTAATCTTTTGTAGTTAAAACTATTCTACACTAATCTTTTGTGGTTAAAACTACTAGCAAAAATGACTTACAAATGATAGAACCTTCATTCTTCTTCCTTCCTATTGGTAGAATTTCTCTTTTCTTCCAAAAAATCTTCCAAGACTTCAGGCTTCATCTTCTCTCGAGAAAACTCAATCCCAACTTGTCCCTTGCCATCTTATTAATGCTCAATCTCAACTATTACATCCAATTTACCTGCAATCACGGAAATCAAAGCATAAGATGGAATATGCACCAAGTGAAGCAAGTTAGTTTGTTAGTAAGCCTAAAGCGAATATGTTAAACTATAAAATAATATAATACTGAGCACTCTATAGTAACTAGCACTAAACCAGTTAAATTAATCAAGCCCATAATTCAAAATCACAATTCTCAAGTCCCCAATTTTCATATAACTAATAATACTCTTGAAAACCCTTGTGATGGACCAAAATTATTTATGCAAAATTTTTATTTACTTTTGATCTCAATCCATAATGTCAATAGAAAGAAATGTATAGAAAAACTGTAAATCTACGAACCCATTAATTCAACATCAATGAAACAGGCCAACATCAATGATACTGACCTCCCTATCTCTCATTTTTTAATGTCTACAGGTGGCTTATAGGCTGTGGACGAGGTGTTTGATCATGTTGATGGTATCGGTGGTGGTGCTAGACTACTAGCCATGTGTATTTAGAGTGAAAGATGGTGATTGTTGTAAGGATAATGTTATTTAGATTTAATTTATTTTTGTAATTTGTTAAATTAATTCATTATAGGTATTGGGTTAATACTACACTCCATAAACTATTGGCATTTGCCCATTATCCAAATGGCACGACAATTAGATTTAAATAATATTATATTTGTTTTAATTAATTGATTGATTTTGTGTGGATAATTTATCAGGTATTTTACATATAACAATGAATATATGTGTAAACATTTTAAAAATGGAAGCTCATGTCGTTGATATTAGTGCTCAACAAAGGAGAGTATTTCATGAAATATAGGATTCATAACCTCTCTATTACACTTTCTTTTTAATTTTACTCAACACAGAGTTAGTTGAATGACACGCGTCTAAATTTACTACAACGGATAAGATTTCTATAAAGCAACCACATTGGTTAAATCATAGTTAACTATACACACAATGGCAAGAAAAATGGAAGAGATACATGTTAAGCAACCAAGGATGGAAATGACATCAATTTTTGGCACTCAAGAAGGACATTGTTTTCTCATTCATGAGAAAACCATATTTCTTGGTTCATCTTAATCAGATTGTAATTACTGCATCTTTTTTGTTTGTTATTTTCACTTTTCTGTTATTTAGATTATTATTTTTGGGAACGAATTCACGGTTGCCCACTAAAGTGTCACTTTATGCAATTTTGTTAGTTAGCTGACCGTATGGAATTTTGTTAGGTGGCACCAAATTCATATAATAAGTTAGTTGACCTTATGCGAGTTTGTCACTTGGCACCGAATTCTATTATGTCGTCTATACTCCGGATGATATGAGATTTGGTGGAGTTAGAAGAAAGAAATATATTTTGGCTTTGTGCTTTTGTTTCCTATTTTATTGGTGATTTAGTTGGAAAAAAAAAATTCAAGGCTTTTTTTATGATAAATTTTTTTGACAATTCAAATTATTATAAGTCTATGCAGGAAGACTCAACCCTAATTTTTATTATTTTAAGAGAGTTTGATTTTTTAATTTTATTGGATAAAGACACAATGGTTGCAACATAATCTTGACGGGATAAAAAATTAAACATGCCGAAAGATTGATAAAACAGTATCACAACTTCATAGATGGGCTGATTTGGCCGCAACATATAAATTGAAAAATCTCGGAACAAAATATTTTTGAATTAATTACAACATGACTGATATTTTGCACCATGACATAAAAACGCGGACCCTTTCCCACCGTCAATTGAATTAAAGAAACAATATTTCGTTGCCAAGACAACACCAGAAGATGCCAATTTGGTGCAGATCAGTGTCAGCATAAGTCAATATCCTCCACAAAAAATTAGACCAGCTGTCTAAAAAGGGAAGAATTTTCTGGATAAATCAAACTTTGACCCCTCAATTATGGTCTTGTCCGTTATAGTTCCTTCACTTGTCTTATTTTTTGCAATGGTACCTTAAATCATAGTTATTAATTTCCCACTACCCAAAGATTAACGCCCGCCAAAATTTTAATAGAAACTTCTCTTGGTACGACCATTGAATTAGGTGAACATTTTCCACCCAAAAGGTATATGGTGATTGTTTTTAGAACAATGTGAAACCAATTAAAGTGTAGAGGAGAAAATATGAGAAATCCAACAGTTCAACTAACAAAGTAAAATTAATACCAAAGTTGATGGGGTCAAAATGTATTTGTTTGTGATTCCCATGCGCGGCTATGTATTTAATACCAGTTATAGTCTAGAGCTGGAAGCACCACTCTAACTAGGGAGAATTGGCTTGTATTTGGAAGTAAGAAATATAGGGCCACTCCCACAATCCAGATTCTCAGACTTCGATGGATTCTCAAACGCAACAGCTTCACTTTGTATTGCTTCCTTTAATGGCTCCTGGCCACATGATTCCCATGGTAGACGTTGCCAGACTGTTGGCACAGCGCGGCGTTCTCGTCACCATAGTCACAACACCCCTCAATGCCGACCGATTCAAAACAATCATCGCTCGTGCCACGGAAGCTGGACTTCAAATTCGAGAAATCCAACTCCAATTTCCATGTGTAGAAGTAGGTTTACCAGAAGGGTGCGAGAATTTTGATATGCTCCCTTCAATGTTCGCTGGAGGTAAATTTTTATACGCATGTGGGATGCTACAAGGGCCCGTAGAAAAATTGTTAGAAGAGTCAAAACCCCAAGCAAGCTGCTTAATTTCTGATAGGTGTCTCCCATGGGTGACTAATGTAGCCCACAAGTTTCATATCCCAAAACTTCTTTTCCATGCATGTGGTTGCTTCCCGCTCTCTTGTATGCACCACTTGCAGGTCTCCAGAGTCTTTGATGATATTAAATCCGAATCAGGTCACTTTTTGGTGCCTGGCCTGCCTGACCCAATTGAACTTACTATAGCAGCGATTACGGGCTGTGTCAAGACAAACCCATCTGGCCCAAGAGATTTGCGGGATGACATCAGAGAGGGTGAAGAAGCATCATATGGGTTTGTGGTTAACACTTTCCAGGAGTTAGAGACAGAGTATATCAAAGAATATGCCAAGGCAACAGGTAAAAAAGTATGGAGTATTGGTCCTGTTTCACTCTGCAACAAAGATAATATGGATATGGCCACAAGAGGTAACAAGTCTGCTATCAATGAAAACCATTGCTTGAATTGGCTCGACTCATTCGAGCCAAGGTCTGTACTCTATGCCTGTCTAGGAAGCCTATCGCGCCTACCAACTTTGCAGATGATAGAGCTCGGGTTGGGTCTAGAGGCATCAAACAAACCCTTCATATGGGTTCTCAGGCATAAATCGAATGATTTCGAGAAGTGGATTGTGGAAGAAAAATACGAGGAAAGGATCAAAGGGAGAGGACTTTTGATCCATGGTTGGGCACCACAGGTACTGATATTGTCTCACCCTGCAATTGGGGGGTTTTTAACTCATTGTGGGTGGAACTCTATTCTAGAAGGGGTGTCTGCTGGTGTGCCAATGATAACGTGGCCAATGTTTTCGGAACAGTTTTTGAATGAAAAATTGATTGTTCAAGTACTGGGGATTGGAGTGAGGGTTGGTGTAGAGGTTGAAGTTAATTTTGGGCAGGAAGAAGAGATTGGAGTGTTGGTTGAGAAGAATGTAGTTAAGATGTGCGTTGATGAGTTGATGGGTGAAGAAGAGGAAGCTGAAGAGAGAAGGAAACGAGCTAGAGAGCTGGGAAGAATGGCAAAGATGGCAGTAGAAGAAGGAGGCTCTTCTCACACCAACATGACACTTTTAATCCAAGATATCCTGGAACAATTAAACCATGTTAGTGATTTGAGTTAGTTTGTTAGTTGAGTTAGTTTATTACTGGTTGTCAATAATGACCTATTCCATAGGTCTGCATGTTTACCATTTTCTTTCAGTTAGAATTCCACGATATTAGGAATTCTTGTTAGACGTGGAATGTTTTTTTCTCAAATTCTATTTCTTATGAGGCTATTTAATAGCCATGTTTATCTAATAATAAATCAGTGATTTTTCCCTCAATTATATTACATTCAGATTGTTTGAGTCATACTCGCAAGTATGACTTCAGAGAGTTCTTTTATACAACTAGCAGTACCAAAGTTTGATGGGCACTATGACCATTGGGCCATGCTCATGAAAAATTTTCTTCGATTGAAAGAGTATTGGGGACTGGTGGCCGACGGTGTTCTTGAAGTCGCAGATGAAGCTATCCTCACTAATGCACAAAAGAAGCAGAGTGCCGAGCAGTAGCTCAAGGATTTGAAGGCTAAGAACTACTTATTTCAAGCATTGGATCGTTCCATTTTGGAATCTATTCTCAACAAGGACACGACATAGAACATTTGGGATTCCATGAAGATCAAATATCAAGGGACGACAGGAGTCAAGGGGGCTCAATTGCAAGCGCTTTGAAAGGAAGATGAAGTTCTTCGTATGAAGGACAGTGAAACTGTGACTGACCTGTTTGCTAGAACCCTCACTATTGTCAACAAGATGAAAGCCAATGGAGAACAAAAGATTGATGGTGATGTTGTCAGTAAAATCTTGCGATCCATGACACCTAAATTCAACTATGTTGTCTGTTCCATTGAAGAATCCAACTATACAAACACTTTGACGATTGATGAACTCCAAAGTAGATTGCTTCTTCATGAGCAACGTATGAGCTCTCTTGTTAAAGAAGACCATGCTTTGATAGTCACACAAGAAGAATCTAGGGGACGAGGACGTGGGAGTTTTCAAGTACGAGGTCGAGGACGTGGCGACCTTGGCAGACCAAGCTTCAATCGTATTACAGTATAATGTTCCAATTGTCACAAACTTGGACATTTTCAATGGGAATGTCCAACGAAGGAGAATGAGGCCCATCATGCCGAGACTCAAGAAGAACTGTTACTGATGGCACAGGTTGATAATACCACAAAAAGTCATGATGATCAATGGTTCCTTGAATCAGAATATAACAATCATATGTGCGGTAACAAATTTTCTTTCTCTGACCTTGATGAAAGTTATCGTGATTTAGTTAAACTAGGGAACAATACTTCTATGGCTGTGTTGGGCAAGGGTAATATCAGATTGTAGGCAAATGGCAAAGCACACATCATCACAGATGTCTTCTTTGTGCCCGAGCTGAGGAATAATCTATCGAGTATAGGGCAGCTGCAGGCCAAAGACTTGACCATTATGTTTCAACATCACAAATGCAAGATATTTCATCCTAAACGTGGTCTACTTATGAAAATAGAGATGGCTGCCAACTGAGTGTTCATTGTCCATGCCATAGCCCAACCTATGACTTCCACGTGCTATAATACTGTTTTAGAAGACAAAGGATATCTATGGCATTTTCGCTATGGACATTTGCTGTCCAAGGGACTACAAACTCTTCTAAAGAAACAAATGGTAACTAGTCTGCCTCAATTGAAGTCTCCTACCAAGATCTGTAAGGACTGTTTGGTTGGAAAGCAACACAGAGATCCATTTCCTTCCTATAGCACCTGGCAAGCAAAGCAAATCCTACAGTTGATACGAGATGATATCTGTGGGCTAATCAAACTAGAATCCAACAATGGAAAAAGGTACATACTCACTCTAACTGATGACTTCAGTCGCAAAACGTTGGTTTATTTTTTGAGCATGAAATCAGAAGCTTTTAATGTCTTCAAAAGCTTTACCTTTATTAATGGGAGACAAATTTGACAGTTATATTAGAGATTTTGTTCCCTAAATTTATAGAATAGCATTTTTGAGTTTCAAATTATATCTTCCTCTTTCATTCAACTGAAGTTATGAATTCAAACATTCATATCTTCTTTAAATTTGTATAATTTGTTTTTTTTTTCTATAAATTGTAATGAGGAATATATGTTTTTACCTTATATAATACCATTGGTTGTTGTAAGTGGTTTTTTCCATGGATATTTTAAATTTAAATTTATATGTATGTTATTCGATATGTTTATACGTAGTAGTGGTACATGTCGCATTGACACAGTTATACATATCGCATTGGCACAGTGTTACAAATCACATTGGCACAGTGATACATGTCATATTGGCATAGTGGCACACGACAACGTCACACTGATACCAGCTAAATGATTTCTAACTGACGATTTTTAGAGACGGTGGTTTTGGGGAAGTTTTGTCATCCCCGTTTGAAGTTTACAGAATCCGGTGATAATGGTGCAACTATGCAAAACTATTATCTCTTCCTTTTTTTTCGGAGGTGTCCTCACTTGTTTAGAAAACTGTTCAATTTCTACAAAAAGAGGAATTTTAGACTTTGGGCATGACATGTGTACTTTTTTACTAATCTTTTTAATTGTGATACTTTTTGCCTAATATTTCTAATAAATGGTACCGACCCCCTTAATTTCCTTTTTAGTTTTTAATATTGATGATACCAGAAAAGAATCCGAAATTTGAGCGCGGGAGCTAAAGTTAGGAAGGGAGCTCAGCTCATGGAGTTTGAGCTCAGACGTCTAGACCTAGAGTTCCCTCCACCTGCATCCTGAAGTAGATAAATGGAGGACAACTAGCATACACAAGACATCCTCCCAATGATAACAAGCTCCAGTCTAGGCACAAAATCCTCAAACCACCATAACCGTCACCTAGAATCAAGCAAGACACCATGGAAGAAAGGCAAGGATCTCGCCACCATTCCCATAGAGCTATGAATTAGACTATAAATATTGTACAATGCCTCCAGTACGGGACAAGCAATCCCAGTTATATCGAAAACACTCAGTAAACCACACAGACCATGAATAAAGATTCAAGGAGCAAGAGACTCCATTGAAGGGTGGATTAGCCGAGCTTCAGAGGTAGTGAACCACCATATTTTCATTGTGTGAACATACGCCAAAGAATCTTATCATTGTCCCCACGAACTTAAAAGCTCAGACCAAGTGTTACTCAGATACACCACATTTTGCTCACCTACGCTTCATTCACCATCAGTTTGGTGCCATCTGTGGGAACGATTGTTCCTGTTACGAATTTGTTGATCTGTTAGTAATTGATGGTCTCAACACGTAACTTGAGCAGAAGCCAGATAAATCCCCCGCGGATGTAAAACCAACAGGAGGCCACTAGCGGAAGGCAACAAGAAAGCCTTCAAGACTTCTTTTCCACCACAGAGGTCAATCCTCCCATGACAGATCCCCCCTTATGAATAATGAATTGGAAGCTCTTCGCCTAGTCAACCAGAGTCTACTCCAACAGAACGAAGAGCTTTTGAAGCTATTGGAAGGTCCTCAGCAGACACGGCCAGCCCAAGGAGGTCCCCCATCAGGGGAATGTCAATGCCTTGACCCCCCCTCAGGGAAATTAACGAAGGGGGTGAGAATAGTTAGGTTATGGCACAAGCTCCTTGTCTACCTCCTAGAAATGACGATAACGAAAAAGTGAAAATTCAAAATGATGGGATCAAGAAAAAAGATTTTTCCCCTTTCCAGTAGGAAAGGAGAGAGCAATATTGGGAGCAGTGCTTCAAGGCATCTAACAAGAACTCAGTCACATGAAAGAAGCCGTGAGGGACAAGACCCCAGTAACGATGGATGCCCTGGTGCAGTAGACTGAATCCCCATTCACAGCTGATGTGTTACATTTCTCCCTCCCTCCGAAATTTAGAATGCCCCAAAATGGATGCTTTCGATAGGACAAAAGATCATATGGATCATCTCAATACTTACAAGAATCAAATGGAGTTGCATGGATATCAAGACACGGTGCTATGTAGAGCTTTCACCATCACCCTGAAAGGGTCAGCCTTGGCATGGTTTAACAGGCTAGCCATGGTGTCAATCTTTTCCTTCAAGGAGCTCTCAATATCTTTCGTGTCCCACTTCATAGGGGCTCGAACCTACAGAAGTCGAATTATCACCTGCTGAATGTAAAGTGGGGGCCCAACGAAAATCTATGGTCCTACATCTAGAGATTCAACTCCAAAATCCCTAAAAGTAGATGTTCCAGATGAGAAGTTCTCTATCACTGCTTTCATCGCTGGGCTGAGAGTGTAGTCGAAAGACTTGATGTTCTCTATATCAAAAAACCCACAAGCAAGTATGGCAGAAGTGTTAGCCAAGGCAGAGAAATATATCAATGGCAAGGAGGTCCTCCTCTCTAAGGTGGGGAGCTCATCCTCGCAGAAGGAAAAAGGGAAGGAGGAAAAGAAGAGGGATTCGAAGTCCTAGAAACGAAAAAGGGCAAAATAGGTTTCCAAGAAGAGACAGAGATCACTCCCCCAAAAGGAGGGGGGATGTCAGAGATCGCTTCGGTCCTCCCTAACTAGAAGTACAATCAAGGTATGCACCCCAGAAGTTCACCCCACTTATGGCTGTAGTGTCCCAGATCCTTCATGATGTTCAGAGTAAGAAGTTTCTGAGGTGGCCACCTCAGATGAAGGCAGACCTAGCAAAAAGAGATGCGACAAAGTATTATGAATACCATAGGGACCACGACTACTTCATAAATGAATGCATTTAGTTGAAAAAGGAAATTGAGTTCCTGATTCAGCAAGGACAGCTGCATCGCTTTGTAGCCCATAAAAACCAAAATCAAGCTCCTTTACCCCTAGGACCTCTGCCGCAGGTCCTAGAGCAACATTAGCAGCCTCTGGGGGAGATCAGGGTGATTTCCAGAGATTTTGTGGGAGATGGGGAGTCCAACTCAGCCAGAAAGGCTCACCTGTGCAAAATTAGAGCTAATGAGACTTTGGAAGTGCATACTGTGTCCAAGGCACCACAGCTGGACACAGCTACCATTTTCTCAAACTCAGACTTGGAAGGCTGTCAGCATTCCCACGATGACCCCTTGGTGGTAAGAGTCATCGTCGCTAATAAAACCGTCCATCGAGGTTTGATTTACAACGGAAGCTCAACAGACATCATTTTTGTGTCTACATTTGACAAGATGGGTATAGACAGAGAAAAGCTCGAGCCAGTAAGTGCTAATTTGTTGGGATTCTCAGGGGAGAGGGTGTTAAACCTGGGATCGATACAGTTTGTGCTCACGATGGGAGACCCTACTTGTTAGGCCACCACTGCAATGAAATTTCTGGTGGTTGATGCATCTTCAGCATACAATATCCTGCTTGGAAGACCTTCCCTCAACGCCATGAGGGCCATTCCTTCTGCCTACCACCTGCTTATGAAATTTCCTACAAAAAATGGAGTTGGAGTGGTCCGAGGAGACCAACGTGTAGTGCGGGAGTGCTACATGGCATCTATGAAGAAGAAAGAAGTCAAAAATATCCAATTAGACGAGCTCAACATGAGAGACGAGCTGGACACTAGACCAATGCCATCAGAAGAGCTGGAACCTGTTTAGCTTGACGAGGAGCCAGAACACCTTGTTTACATAGGGTCTAAGTTGAGCAGGGAAATTAAAGACCTCCTCATCCAGTTCCTAAAAATAAATTTGGAAGTGTTTGCTTGGAAGCAAGAGGGCGTGAAAGACATCAACCCCTCAATCATCACACACAAGCTCAATGTGAATCCTACTTGTAAACCCATAAAACAAAAGCGGAGAAGTTTTGCCCCAGAATACCAAAAGGTAATTAATGAGGAGGTCAACAAACTTCTCCATGCCAAGGCCATCAGGGAGGTAGATTACCCCACCTGGCTAGCAAACGTGGTTCTTGTTAAGAAGACCAATGGCAAATGGCATCTCTATATCGACTTCACCGATCTCAACCAAGCCTGCCCTAAAGACAGTTTCCCCTTAGCTCGAATTGATCTAATTGTGGATGCCACCGTTAGACACTAGCTCCTCAGCTTTATGGATGCTTTCTTTGGATATAATCAAATCAGGATGGACCTTAATGACCAAGAGAAAACCTCCTTTGTGACTGAGCAGGGGACGTATTACTACCAGGTCATGTCTTTTGGATTGAAGAATGCTGGAGCCACTTATCAGCGCTTGGTAAACCAAATGTTCCAAATACAAATTGAAACATCCATGGAGGTCTACATAGATGACATGCTAGTAAAATCACTGAAGGCAAAGCTCCACATCGGACATTTAGCAGAGTTGTTCTAGGTCTTTAAGGAATACAAGATGAAGCTCAATCCTGTAAAATGTGCCTTTGCAATATCTGCGAAAATATTTTTGAGCTCCGTAGTCAACAACAGAGGAATTGAAGCTAACCCATAAAAAGTTAAAGCAGTAATGGATATGTAGCCACCTTCCAACACAAGAGAGATCCAACGTTTAACAGGAAGAATAGCTACCTTGAGTCGTTTTGTGTCCAGACCAAGCGATAAATGTCAACCCTTCAATCCCAGCCACAAAAATTGGTATAAGAGTCTCAACTTTCACGTCTGGAGGACTGAACTCAAGCTCAGTAAGAACTTGAGGATTGATGAGTTGTGAATATCTCTTTGGGTCACAGCCCTCTAAGCTCCGTAAAACTCGCTTATCAACAACATTAAGCTCCGGACAAACAACTAAGGAATAAAATGAGACAGGCAAAACAAAGTCAGCTAAAAAAAAAACCTTCAAAACCAATCCAAACCTACTTAGGTAGGGGCTTACCCAGGTTATTAGGAGGATACCAAGCACGTGGTACTAGAAGTGTGTCTGCCACATTCGTGGGATTGTACTCCCATTCTCTGGCCCATACAAAGAAGGAAAGCTTCGTCCAACCCTTTTGGGAGCTCGAGAGGTCAGAAATAATGGCTTGGTTCTTTACCCGTTTGGAAATGTACAAAAAACCATCGGAAGGGAGATACTTGACGTTGAAGAACTTCAGAAGCAAAGACACGGTGGGGACTCCAAGGTCATGTTTTTTGAAGTAAACTAGGAGACCTATCAGAATACCTCAGAAATTGGGAGAAAGTTGGGTAGGACAAACATTAAAATGTCGTAGGACGCTCTGAAGGAAGGAGTGTATTGGAAACCGAAGGCCGTTCTCAAAAGCGTCCATGAAGAAGTAGACCTTCTTGTGAATGAGGGTATCATACCGAACGTCCTGGTCTGGGCACCAATATCTTACATCCCCAGGAAAACCGAAGTGTGCAGATAGAACCCCCAAGTAAGGAGGTGTAATCTCGCTGTGACCTACGAGGTCAGAAGCATTGGGAACAACCTTAGCACCTTTGGCGCTGCCTGAAATCCCAACGTCACTCACTTTGGTCTTACCTTTGTTTGGTTTTTTGGGCGTAGGAGAGGGTGACAAGGGAGGATCCTTTCATCGACATCGACTTTGACAGAATCGACGCCAGGGAAGTTGTTAATCTCCTCACCTATATCACCCAGGTCAATGTCTTCAGCAAACTCGTCAACTAGAAGGGAAACAAACGAGGCCGTAGCTTCAGAGGAAGCAGACATGGTTGGACAAGAGAGAGGGAACCTTAAAGATCTATGCAAGGAGACTTCTGCAAAACAATCTCTAAGGGTCAAACGATCGAGACATCGACGAACAATAAGGAAAATTCTAGTAGTAGAGTAAGGATCCAAGAAAAGAGGAAGAGAGGACAGTGAGCGATCTCGGTTCCTAAAGTAATAGAATCGAAAAGTCTAGAAATGTAGTAACCACCTCATATTTGAGGGATCCAGAATGAAGAAATGATTAAAAGTCAAGAAGCGTGCCTAATCAAGGGCGAGAGATGAATCAAAAGCCCAAAGCAAAATCAGAAAGTGAGCCTTGCAAGAACGCTGAGTCATATCAAGGAAAGTCGATTTTTCAGAGCCCTAAGAACACCAGCAAATTAGGGAAACTAGAATCGCCAGGAAGAAGGAAGGAAAAGCCTAGAAAGAGAAATAAAAAGGAGGAGTGAGGCGGTCTTCATCTTCTTAGAAGCATTTAAAGGTTACGGTATGTAGGTCTTCAAAGAGTGAAACGTGCACAAAAAAACGAGGAAGCAATGATTCCACAAAATCGTCAAAAAAACCTCTTTGCATAAATCGAGGTCGTCATATGGAGGTCAACCTCAACCTAGCCTTATCTCAGCCTCTACTCAAGCCCACTTTGACCAGGGATTGGGGGGCAACTGATGATACCAGGAAAGAATCCCAAGTCTGAGCTCGGGAGCTAAGGTCAGGAAAGGAGCTCAGCTCATGGAGTTTAAGCTCAGATATCCAGACCTAGAGTTCCCTCCACTTGCATCCTGAAGTAGATAAGTGGAGGACAGGTGGCATACACAAGGCATCCTCCCAATGGTAACAAGCTCCAGTCTAGGCATAAAATCCTCAAACCACTATAACTGTTGCCTAGAATCAAGCAAGACACCATGGAAGAAGGGCAAGGATCTCGCCACAGCTCCCATAGAGCTAGGAATTGGACTGTAAATATTCTACAATACCTCTAGTACAGGGCAAGCAATCTCAGTTATATCAAAAATACTTTGTAAACCACACAAACCATGAATAAAGATTTAAGAAGCAAGAGAGACTCCATTGAAGGGTAGATTAGCCGAGCTCCCGAGATGGTGAACCACCGTATTTTTATTGTGCAAACATACCCCAAAGAATCTTATCATAGTCCCCATGAACTTAAAAGCTCAGATCAAGTCTTACTCAAATACACCACATTCTGTTCACCCATGCTTCATACACCATCAAATATTGTCTGTCTAGAAGGCAGAATTCTTCAGATATTACTCCATCTAAATTAGTAGTTTAAAATTCAAAGATTTGATTCCTTGTATGAGACTATGAGTGACTGATTCAATGACAAAAGTCTATTGAAAAAGAAGGATTCTTTTGTTCTTATTTGGAAAATGTCCATCCCAACAAATGAGCGTAGACGAAGTCTTATCCAACGTGTTTGGATGACCAACTTTATAGAGTATAATTTGAATAATATATTTTTTCCATTCAAATCAATGTCATTTATTCAATATTTTTTCCACCACCATCATTGTCACTACCACCACCATCACCACTACTGCAATCACTACCATTGTGCCATCACACCACAGCTACAATCACCACCATCACCATTATTGGTCGAATAATGGTACAATACATGAATGCATGAACGCAATGGTACAATACATGAACGCAATGGTGAATGCTAGCAATACATGAAAAGGAAAAGCAATCTCTTATGCCAAAGAAAGTGAAAATACCGAATGCCAAATGGTATTATTGGTCGAATAATCGCAATACTAAGTAATTGTTAAGAAAATTTTACTCATTCATACCAATTTTTTTTTATTTAACTTTTTAGGTAATCGATGATAATATTTTAACAAAATGTCAAATTGCACAACATGCATGTCTGGAGCGTGAGAGATCAGAATGTCTTCCAAGTACGTCTACTCTTGTGCTTGCACAAATTCCTATGCCTGCACAAATTTCTAAGTTTCTAGCAGAACAAGCTATTCAAACAAATGTCTCTGGGTCATCATCTCTGCCAACAATGCTTCGAGAAAATCCTCCACATAATCTTGATGAAGGCAATTTTGTTGAAGGCACTTCGATGCAATCGACACCACCGTCTATTGGTGTCATGAACAACATTACTATTTTTGGCCGTGTAAGATCTTTCTCTAATATATTTCTTTTACAACCTTTCATAATATATAATCTTTCACTAATTACAATTTTTTTAACCACCTTTTTACAGATGAATAATGACCTAGATCGTACAGTAAGTCGATTTTCTTATGACTCATTCATTACTTCTTATTTCATATCGCTCAATTTAGCTTTACATTTTTTTGAATTTCTAGGTCAAGTTACTTTGAAAAAACAACGTAGGCGTTGTGATTCATGATGAACATGAGCTTAACCACCTTCACATATCTGAAATGGTAACAACAAATTCAAATATAATGATATTTGCATTATTCTTTTTAACTATAATGGTTTTTAACTTACACATATTATTTTGTTGAAAGGCAAAAAGAAAGGCAACTACCATGGCGATCGCTAACTCTAAAGGAAAAGAAAAAGTAGGCTCTTCTGGCAAAAGACAAGAAAATACAGAACCTCAAGTGGTATGAATGTTGAATTCAACATTTAATAAATTTATATCTAATTGCTTATGTTCACAACAATGATTCTTTTAATTATGTTTTAGATATCCAATGATAATTATTATTTATCAAAACACCAATTGGCACAACGGCATGTAGAGAACGGGAGAGATTGGAACCTCCATGCATTCAACCTAGGATTTTTCCTATGTTGACACCGAGCCGCCGTCATCTACCTTAACTAGAAAGATCGACAGTCAAAAGATCTTTTGTTCAATCCTCATCCATGCCTATGAAAATTCCTGAGGTTGTACCAGAGCAAACTGTGAAAATAAATTTCACAAGGTCATCGTCTGTGGTCACTATGCTTCAAGAAATGCCTACACAAAATTTAGGTGAAAGCAGTCTTGGCGAAGACACCACGGCACAAATGGAGCCACCCTCTATTTGTTCCATGGAAAGCCCTATGCAAACAGTAGAACAAACTGTAATAAATGAAACGGGGTCATCGTCTGTTACGACCATGTTCCAAGAAATGTCGAATTTAGACAAATGTAGCACGATGCAAGCTCCCTCCAGGAGGTTATAAATTACAACTTTCTTAATGTTATTATTTATGAGCTTGATTGAAGGCATCACTATAACCACAAGTTTTTAGCTTATATATTTTAATTTAATTTATGTAGTGTTGAGTTTGATCCTCGAACACATAGAGTAGTAGGTTGACATTCACTCGAAATTTTGAATGTACCATGTCCTCATTGTTCAACTTTACATTGAAAAGCTGAACAATTATCAAATTCCCGTACATGACACCCTCTGTTTGGAACATGTTGTTTGCAAGGAAAAATTAGGATACCACCACTTAATACACCTCCTTCAACACTTAAGGCATTGTATGATGGCACTGATGAACAATCAAAATCGTTTCGGTATCATACCTACGAGTATAATGCAACAAATGCTTTTATAAGTCTTGGTGCTACCTTGGATTCGAGATTGGTCGTTGGAAAAGGGTCCTACATCATTCACTATCCATGGAGAATTACGACATCGGACCGGATCACTTCTGCCACAACCAGGTCAAGATGCGGTATACTCCCAATTGTACATTTATGACCCTACTTCAGCTTTAGACATTCGCAGTCGTAGAAATCCTCACTTGCAACGGGATGTTTTGAAAATTATTCAAGATTGTTTGTTTCACGTAAATCCCTTTACAAAAAAATATCAGGAAGCTTATGAGATTTTAAGTCAATCATATGTGGCAACTCAAAATTTACTTGCTTATCTTCGTTACAATTCTTCCACAGATCAACGTCGGTATAATCTCCTAGCAACAGATGAAATTGCGGTAATATTACCAGGCAATGAAATTGAATCAAGTGGAATGAGAGATATTATTTTACATATGAGAGAAAATAATGGGCTGATGCAAATTAATGAATGTCACCCCGCATATTTACCTCTACATTATTTGTTACTGTTTCCTTATGGTGAGCTTGGATGGAAACTTGAATTGAGACAGTGGGACGAATCTCATGGTGGACCTTCAACCAATCGATTGACTCAGTTGCAATTTTATAGTTATCACATGTTTCAACGTGATACTGAGTATTCAATAATTTTGAGAGAGGAAAAATTATTTCAGGAGTTCGTAGTAGAGGCTTGGGCCTCTACTGTACAGAATCGATTGACATATTATAAGCTTAATCAAGCAAAGCTCCGTGTTGAACTTTACTATGAACTGAGACCCAATCAAATTGGTTAACGAATGATTTTGGCATCTTTATTCACGGGCAGTGCAAGACATATGTTTGAAATCTATCAAGATTCTATGGCTATCACACGTTACAACCAACACCCAGATATTTTTCTCACTCATGATGAAACAATCTAATTGGCCTGAAATTTCTTCAGCTCTGTTAGAACATCAACAACCTGTTAATTGTCCAGATTTAGTTGCCTATGTTTTTGAGTTAAAGAGGAGGTTTTTGATGAAGATGATAGAGACGAAGGTAACATATGTTTTCACGATCGAATTTCAAAAACGAGGGCTACCACACATGCATGCACTTCTATTCCTTCATGGTCCAGACAAAATTCAAACATGTTCTCAAGTAGACAAGATAGTGTGTGCTGAATTTCCTGATCTGGACAAAGATCCTCTTCTTTTTCATATGATCAATAGTTGTATGGTACATGGACCATGTGGTATTCGACATCAACATGCATCATGTATGAAAAATGGTGTATATACTAAGAGGTACCCTCGAACATTTGTAGAATCAACAAGCATGGACGATGATGGATATCCTGTTTATCGTCGTCATGATAATGGTCATGTTTATACTGTTTGGGGTCAAGAAGTTGATAATAGGGATGTCGTGTCATACAATCCTTATCTTTCAAGAATGTTCAACTGTCATATTAATGTGGAAGTTTGTGCAAGAATAAGATGTGTGAAATACATCCATAAATACATTTATAAGGGTCATGATCACACCACTATGGTGTTGGGAGGAGAAGATGAAATTCAACAATATCTTGATGCATGGTATATTGGATCTCTAGAGGCTGCTTGGCAAATATTTGGTAATCCTTTACATGAAGAGATTCCATTTGTTATACGTTTGGAATTTCATTTACCAGGGATGCATCGTGTTGTTTTTAATTCGAACGAACCGCTTCAATCAATCATTTCAAGAGGTGCACAATGTGATACCACTTTGACTGGTTTCTTTAAATGTTGTGCTTCAAATGAATCTGTATGTACATTAACCTATCAAGAATTTTCAAAAAAAATTGTTTGGAATAAGAAAACCACAATATGGACCCCTAGACAAAGGGGGTACACAATTGGCAGGATGTACTTTGCTAGCCCAAATTCAGGTGAGCGTTTTTATCTGTGTTTGCGACTAACAGTTGTCAAAGGACCAACAACATTTGATAACCTGTGCACAATAAACAACGTTATGTATGATTCTTTCAAATCTACATGTGTTGCAAGAGGTCTTCTAGAAGATAATGTCAAATGGATACAATGTCTACAAGAGGCTTCAATTATGAAAACGGGACACCAATTGAGAAAATTGTTCGGTATTATTCTAACTAAATGCTCTCCGATATATCCACTTGCATTATGGAACCAGTTTTCAGTGCATGTATGTGATGAGCTTAAATGGAAGATTTGTACAATGTTTGGTATTTCAAATCCAACTTAGGATGAAATGCTGCATTTGCAAACTTTTTAATTGAGGTAATAATTTATTCGTCAATAATTTGATAAAATATTGCTTTTCATTAGTATTTATTCCTCTTCGCTCATTTAACTTGCCAAATTTAATTTTAGGTTGGGACCAATCCAGAAGAAATTATAGAACTTCCATCAACAATACACAAATGTCATAATCTAGAAGAATTGTTATTCAGAATTTACCCGCGTTTAGATGTGGCTAGTACAGTGACCCCGGATTATTTAACTAAATGCACAATTCTTTCTACACGTAATAATGATGTTAGTTCTATAAATGCGGCAGAATTGAATATATCCTTTGGTGAGACTATTACATATTTAGCTGCAGACAAAATTTCAGAAGATGAGGAACTTGATCATACTATCATGAACTGCTTTCCAAATGAGTATCTAAACTCTCTAAATCCTTCAAGACTATCACCGTTTAAGTTGGAGTTAAAAGTGGGTTGCCTAATAATGTTATTGCGGAATTTGGCACCAAAAGATGGGCTTTGTAATGGCACACAATTAATGGTTGTCAGATGATTTAGTCTTCATTCCAAGAATATTACTTACACCACCATCTTCGGAACTACCTTTTCAAATGACAAGACGTTAATTTCTTGTGCACTTAACATATGCTATGACAATCAATAAATCTCAAGGGCAATCTGTCAAATTCGTTAGGGTTGATTTGTGCATACCAGTGTTTGGCCATGAACACTTGTATGTGGCACTATCCAGATGTACATCTTCTGATCGTATAAGTGTTCTTCTTCCTGAAGATGCGTTGAATTGCACATCAAACATCATTTTCCCTGAAATTTTGTTATAAGACTTCCTATTCAATTATTTACAAAAAGTTACCATTTAGTTACAAATTTTTTCATATTGAATACACATAATTAAAATAATCATGTTAACTTTACATTATCATCATTCCATATTTGTAGGATTGGTGTGAATTGGCTAAAAAGATGAAAAAATTAAATACAACGAGACTTCATCGATGGGGTTATCGTAATAAGGTAACTCAATTCTTACACTGTTGCAGCGTACTGTATTTTTTTATAAATTCAATATATTTCACTAAGATTTGTTTTTTCTTTTTTTCCTGTAAAACTAGGTTGTTGTCCATTCTCCCAACTTGAGGTTTCGCTTATGTATTGACACAAGAACGTTCAAAAAAGTGAAGAAGAAAAAGTTCAAAGAAGATAAAATTCAATGAACTACTGGAAGATTGAATCATTAATTACATTGTTTAATATTACATTCAATCAAAAGCTGCAAGGCTTATGAATAAATCACACTATTTTAATTTTT